GCTGCCTCAGTGCGACGACCCACACCCTCCAGGGATGGGAACTGTGAGTGAGGCATGAAGGGGAAGGTGGAGGCGAGGGAGGTGAAGGCAGGGGAGGTGGAGGCACGGTAGGTCGGCTGGGCTGTGGGAGCAGGAAGTTCTGGATTAAAGCCCCAGTTGGTCCAGTTATAAGGTATGTAACTTGGAGCGAAGTCCTAAATTCTTTCAGCTTTGGCTCCATCTGTAAAATGGGGTGAACCTGACAGAGCTGTGGTGAGGACTGAGTGAGGCAGTTAACATGAAGACCTCCTCTGTCACCTGGCACACAGTAGGTGTGCAGCGAATGGCAGTGCCAGGCAGCAGGGAGAAGAGCACAGCCTGGGTGACATCTGCAAAGGGCTGTGTGTGACGGCATGACACTGTGATCAAGACGCTGGCGGTGCAGGGCGTCCAGTCCAGGCAGCCCAGTGCTGCCTCTGCACCTGGCTGCCTTTCCACGCCCAGCCACCTGGGATGGGTGTGGAGCGCAGACCGACACTGTGGGAGAGACAGATCCTCGGCCAAGGCTGGGGCCCAATCTATGAAATGTCCACTGGGGACTAGGGCTGGCCAGCATGCGCATGGAGGGACATTGGGGGAAATAAGGCAGGCAGAGGAGGCCAGAGGCGCCTGGCAGGTCTGCTACATGCCACAGCAGCAGTGGCGGCCACTCCTGACAGCCACAAGGAGCATGACACCTCATTTCACCAGATGCTTTCATCTTATTCCCCATCACAACCTTTTACATTAAAAATGATTTTTTTGATTGTATTAAGGTCCCCCTTCTTTTAAAGTTTCTGTTCAATATCTTATTAATCCAAAATCAAGTCATTTGGAAAAGAGTGGGCAGAGAAGTGCATGACTCGCCCAGCCACACCGAACTAGCCCTTAGAAAGTAAAGGTTGGCAGCAGAAACTCCTTCTGAAGATAAGGTGTAATGGAGATCGCATGGGAAGTTTATTTGTGGTGTGGTTTGGTAAAACTGCTATTTCCGTGCCTAACCAGCTATGGTGACTGGTACCAAGCAGGGCACACTCGCTGAGCACCTTTAAGACACACCGATTCTGTCATTTCACACACGAGGAAACGGGCTGGACAGTCCTGGTCGCAGTCCCAGGACTAGGACATGGAAATGCCTAGTCCACACCCTGGCTGCCCGGTGAGCTTCAGTGAGAGAATTCTCTGCAAACCCCTCTCCCCTGGCTTCCCGGGCACCTGGGGCAGCTTCCATATAAACGTTTTCCTCTCATCTCCCACAGGATGTGCTAACCTGTTATAGTAGCTCTACTACTAGAGGTATTGATTGGATCTGAGAGCACCTGTGTGGTAGGAGGCAGTAAAAAATGTAAGACTAGCCCGGCTGGTGTGGCTCAGTGGTTGAGCATCAACCTATGAACCAGGAGGTCATGGTTCCATTCCAGGTCAAGACACATGCTTGGGTTGTGAACTTGATCCCCAGTGTGGGTCATAATTGATGTTTCTCTCTCTCCCTCTCCCTTCCTCAGTGAAATCAATAATAAAATTTTTTTTAAAAAATAGAAATGTAAGGATAGGCATTATTCTTCTATTTTAACCAGTCCTGACCTCCTGAAAGCTGTGTGCCAAAATCTCTCTTTAAAAGCAACATTGCACAGTGGGTCCAGCACCCTGTGGTCAGGCAGGTGGTCCTTTCCCCAAGGACAGGGTAGGTATGGGAGGCCATCCTGGGACCATGGGTGAAGGTGATGGCTGTGTCCTCCCGGCAGCCAAAGCCAAGGGGTCTCAGGTACAGGGGCAGCCACTCTGCCATTGCTGTCCCTTGGAGGACAGGGCAGGAGCCAGAGAGGTGACAAGCAGTCCTCACACCAAGAATGAGGAAGGCGTGGCAGTAATGTGAGAATTAGTTACTTTAAAGCAGCCATCATAGAAACGCTTCAGTGAGCAAATATGAACACACTTGGGACAAAAATAGAAAGTCTCAGCAAAGACATTGAAACTATAAAAAAGCCAAATGGAAATCTTCAAATATATATATATATATATACTATATGCATATGTATATATACACATTTACATTAATATATAATAGTCATATATAGATATATAGATAAGAACTAGGAGTTCAGGAAAAACAAAGGTGATAGGAAAGCAAATGGAATTAATGTCTAGCTAGTATCTACTCTGGGACAAGGTCAGTAGTGCTAAACGCTTTATTGTTATAATTATCATATAACAAATCTCATTACATATTTATTGTTTAATTTAATTCTTACAAAATCCTATGAGAGAGAGAATACCTCCTTCCTACAGATGAAGGAAGTGGGCTCAGCAAAGTTCACGACCTGTCCATATTCTCTAGGGAACAGACGATTTTAGGATGGCTTTAGGAAGGCAGCAAATCTAACCAGACACCGAGAGCTTGAGAGACCTAATTCAGTTAGGGTGAGTCAAGTGAGAAAGAATGGCAAATGTGGCGACGCGGTGAGATACGAAGAGTGTCACCTGATGGCAAGATGCATGTCTTGGTCCCGGTGGAAAGTGCAGCTTGTATGTTAGTGGTGGACGAGGAACCAGTGACGGACACTCAGTCAATCAAGCGCTAAGGAAGGACCAAGTTCAAGTCAATGATTTTGCTTTGACACGAGAAGCAAATGGAAGAGATTCTGGGCTTTGGGGAAGAATGAGCAGGTCGAAACAAGACTGGAGGAAGGTAATCTGGTGAGGCAAGATTCTAAAGAGCCTGGCGAAGATCTGAGTAAGCGGCTATGGAGGAGTGTGGAGAGAAGTCTCACACCAGGTTCTGCTATAAAAACAGAGCAGAGAAACCAGGGGTGCCTTTTCCATGGATGATAAAGACACTCAACAAAGGTAAACCAACCTTTCTCTTGATGACATGTTAACCTGAGGGACGTAGGCTGGTAGTCCTTTTCTTTAATACTTTCAACCACCACCTGGAGAAGGTGGTAATCTCGCACACAATCAATATGTTTGTTTCAGGCACATAAAAGGGGTCAGATCATCAAATGAGAAATATTGGTACTTATTCCCAGCTTGTCATATTCAGGCTGCCACCACATCACAAGTGGAGTCCTCCAACTCAGTTGATGAGGGCATATGTGCTGATGTACCTTCTCTAAGGAGGACACTCTTCAAAGCCGTTTAAATGACAAGTACCTTTGCACCAGAGCATATCCAACTGGATAGAAGTGGGAAGCCACACATCCATGTATGTGCTGGATTCCACATCCTGTCACACTCAGCCCCTCAGTTTCTGTGTTAATGGACAGATTCACATCAGAACTTACTGCTTATGAGTTTCTTGGAAACCTTCAAAGTCTTGATGATGGTCTTCTAGGGAACATAAGTTGACAACCCTTTGTTTTGCTTCCTTTGGCAGCTAACAGAGTGGCCTTCACATAATTACTTCACTCCACCCTCCCAACCATCTCTGAGGCCAGACTTCTTACCCACATTCTACAGATGAACCCCTTTGGGCCACCCTTGCTAACGAAATCTCTGGGAGTAGGGAACCGCTGCAGCTCCAGTGAAGTAAGGGGACAGAGAGAGGTCAGTCCTCTCCATCACACCAGCTGACTCTGGTTGGGGCTGGGCAGGCCCCGTCCGCTCCTCTCCACTAATGGCGCAGGAGGACCCAAGCGTTTATAAGACTTAATCCCTGGTGGCAAATATTTTCTGCCTTCTTTCCCATCCTTGACATTTTGTTTTTACTCAGCACTTTTGTTAGAGGTTAAAGCCTCTCACAGAGATGGTTGTAAGGCAAGCCCTGGGGATTAGGGAAGTGGGGTGAGGGGTGGCCTTCAGGGGGTCTTCCAGTCCACTACTGAAATTCTCTCCCAGGCATCCACCATCCCGACACTCACTGGCTTTATAAACTACTCCTCTCAGGACTGAAATGCTCTCCCACAGTCAAGCCTGTCAGTCAGCTACACTCCACTATCAACTGCTAGTTGTGTAATCATACAATTGTCCTCACATAATTAAGTGGCAGAAGTGCAGCTGATGATGGTCCTACTGAATGAATGCCAATTTGTCCACTGAGTGCCAATTTGAATTGTAAGGAAGGTATCGGGCTCAGGGACTGACTGCTGTGTAGAGACCACCCTACAGCTCAGTGGCATAAAGTGACAGTTGTTCATTTCTTGGAGTTCTGTGGATAGGCAACGGGGCGGTGCTCGTCTTAGGTCAGATCACTCTGCGGTTACCGAACAAGGGTCCCCTGCTGATGCACCTACAAGCGTAACACCAGCTTTGGAGAGAAAAAAGGAGCTTTATTTGGGAGCTGAGACAGCAGACAAGGCTCAGATGTCGCTCCTGTTCCAGGACTCAGGGTGGGGGTTCAAGAGGTAACAGTTCAGGGTTTACAAGTGTTACCTGTGAGTGGTGTTCACAAGTGTTGCTTGTGAGTGGTGTATCCAAGGTTGAAACGTTGGTTCCAGGTCTTGGTAGAAACAGAGCAGGACCAGGTTCCGCAGTTAACACTAGGGCTATGGTCATGTTAGTTCAATAGAACTAGGGGCTCCAAGATGATGACTTCCTGCACATACTGGCAGTAGGCCTGGCTGTTGGCGAGGCCCCTCGGTCCTCCTCCACATGGCCTTTCATCTTCCCAAAGGCTGACCCGGCTTCTGCCCAGCCAGTGGCCTCAGGGTTCTAGGAGAGCAAGGTGACTGTTGCAGGACTGCTGACGGCCCAACCACAGGAATTCACACCACGTCACTTTCTCTGCATTGGTCAAGGCAAGTCCCAGGCAGCTGGTGCAAGGGATGGAGAGACTATCTCAGTGCCTAGGCAAGAAAGAGGTGGTTGAGGGACGTTTCAAGCTGGGGTAAGGGACTTTACATGAAGAGAGGTGGGGTCATGGAAAGAGGAAGGAAAACCTTGTAGTCAGTCTTAAGAATAGCTGGGTGTTGCTGCAAGTGCACTGGGCACCTCGCCTTAAGCACCATGGGAAAAGGGGGTTTGCTTAGGAAGCCGCAAAGCTCAGTCCTTGCCCATCCGGGGCCATCCTCCTCTCCCGAGCAGAACAAGGAAAATGCAGGGAGAGCCAAAAGGAGAAGGAAAAGAAATAACCTACTGCACCTTGGTGTGGGTGGGAAGCCAAAATGATGTTCTAAATCTCCTCCCGAAAATCCACACAGGAACATACCCACACGCTGCCCTGTGTGGGCCAAGTGTTTCCGCTCTCTTCAAGGCAGATATTCTCGAATTCCACTCACTGGGAAGTTCCAGTGGCTCTTAGGTTCTCACTGTTTTTAGAGCAATACCGCCTCCGCTTTGGGTCTGTCCTTTTAAAAACGTTCTGCAAGAACTTATAACTTGTTCGTGTCCTTTTACTTTGAAAAGCCATCTCTTCATTGATGCTTCTTCAAAAGCTATTCACCATAATTTTCTGTATAGAGATGGTGGGTTTCGGGTGCTCTGCCCAGCATAACTAGGTCACATACTGGCAGGATGGGGTAGGGGGCCTGCAACATGCACCATTTTTATACTTAGATGGAAGCGTATGTTAGGTAGGAAAAGTAAACTTTCATAGTACTCTGGTTAGTCCTAAAGGGCTCCCTGGTAGTAAAATATGCTGTAACTGTGTAATAATCCACGCAACATTACCTACCTAAGTTTATTTTTTATTAAGATCATATTTGTAAAAAGTCCCACAGGGAGCACCACGAAGCCTCCAGTGCCCTGCATGGTCCCCAATGCAGGCGAGGACCCCAGTGCATACTCTGTAAGTGAAAGGATGATGATGATGATGATGATCCTCCTCACAGGCAGAGGTGGGAGAATACGTGGAGTCACTGTGAAACACATTATAACAGGAACAATGCCTGATCCTTCCATCTAGACCAGTGGTTCTCAACCTGTGGGTCGCGACCCCTGAAAATACATCCTGCATATCAGATATTTACATTATGATTCATAACAGTAGCTGTTATGGTTATGAAGTAGCAATGAAAATAACTTTATGGTTGGGGGTCACCACAACATGAGGAACTGTATTAAAGGGTCACCGCATTAGGAAGGTTGAAAACCACTGCACTAGACCAAATGGACTTAATTGACATCTTCAGAACATTTCACCCCAAAGCCACAGAATATACATTCTTCTCAAGTGCACACGGGTCATTTTTAAAGGTAGACCACATATTGGTACACAGACTAAGTTTCTTCAAATTCAAGAAGATAGAAGAGATATCAAGCATCTTCTCAGATCACAATGACATAAAATCAGAAATCAACTACAATAAAAACGATGTAAAAAAAATCAAATACTTGGAGGCTAAATGGCATGCTATTAAACAATGATTGGGTTACTAAAGAGATCAAAGAAGAAATAAAAAACATCATGGCAACAAACAACAATGAAAACACAACACTC